TCTCTCTCTCTCTCTCTCTCTTTCTCTCTCTCTCTCTCTGTCACACACACACACACACACACATGCCCCATGACAATTGATTCTGGGTGGTCCAGGCTGACACTGTCATTAACTAGGGGTTGTGAAGAGACATGACTGGAAGCAGACAAGGACTTCCAATCCAGAGGAGGGACAACCTCTCTCTGCACCTGGCTCGCAGAGGACATGCTGGAGGGCTCAGCCTGACCCTGCATCCCTTGTACCTCTCCTCTGCCCACACCAGCCCAGGACACTGCCTCCATGACAGTGTGAAGCTCCCCCACCTGGAGACCCTTCCCTGTTCCCCTGACTCAAGAGCATTTGCACAGAGGAAATCAGGCTGCAGACTTAGGGGGAAAAACCCGAAACAAATAACACAGGCAGTGGGTACAGTGTGGGTCAGCAGGTGGGTCTGTTTCTCCTGTCCTCCCTGTCCTCCCCAGTCTTACTGGGGGTGGCCCTGGGACCACCCTACCCTGGCTGCTAGCTGATGCTTCTGTGCACACAGACCTGGGTGGTGAAAAGGAGGTGAAGGGGCCCTGGCCATGGTGTGGAGGGGGCTTACATGATGAGCAGGCTGAAGAGGGGAGAAGTTGGTGGCCCTTCCTCTAAACTACTTGTCAGAATAATTCAATGTCCCTCCCAGTGACTTTTTCACACAAAATTTTCCAGTATCAAAAAAAAGCTTGGGATGGAACCATCAACTATTCCTTTCTATGGGTTTTCCTCAATATCTTTCTTCCCTCCCTCCTGTGCTCCAGGGGTGATAGGAGAGCCACCGAGGCTGTGGCAGACCCAGGCCTCACATTTCTTTACATGCAGGTGTACAGAAGGCAGGAAAGGAAGATGGATGTCCCTGAACATTTCCGATGCACGCAGTCGAGCAGTGCCCTCCCTCCAGGGGAAAGGAAGTACGGTGACAGAGATCACTGCCCGGTATGAGAGGACAGTCAGAAGAGGAGCGAGGGGCACGGTCTCCCTGGGACTGATGAACGGGCGCTGTGGCCGGCCACCTACTGCAGGCTACAGACATGGTGGCCGCGATGATCCATCCTACTGCGCAGAGGCACCAACCCCCTCCCCTCAACCAGGCTGAGAAGGGACCACCGGCTCCTACCTCCTCCTGTTTCTCTTTCCCACCCGAGTTTATGCTATGCTTCTCCTGGTCCCTACCTCTGAAGCCATTTCATGACCTGTCATGTGCTACTGGAGGCTCCAGCAAAAACAAAAACAGGCAAAAGAAAAACAACAACAAAAATCAAAAACTACTCTTGGTTTGTTTTTTACCGTGAGG